AGCTGATGCAATTTTCACACCATTTAGTTGCAGTTTTAATTTAATATCATGGATTCATTGAAAATCAATATACTTGTTGGTCTCAAGACCTTAAACTCTGTTTATCAATCTAAAGTCAATCGGGTGATAACTTTGGTCTCTAGAGCATCCACAAGATTTTTCAAAGTGATCAAGGGACATAACGCTGGTAGTAATTATCGGAAATCATTGACAATCACTGGGCTTATTCGTGTCATGACCTTAAACACCATGTATAAAGTTATAGTCAATCGGATATTAACTCTAGCCTCTAAAGCGTCATGTGGACGCCGGATCGATGGACGGGTTCGACGACAATAATTATACGACCACATTTCAATGTGGGGGTATAAAAACGTGTTTTTGTTGTTATTCTCCCTTCGTTGGTATGCCTTATAGACCTCCCACTCCATCGGATAATAATCCAGCACCATGGAGGTGTATATATTGATATTATAAACCTCTATGTCTAGCACCGACATATATGATATAAAAGTTAGAACCCATGAAATAAATCAATCCCTTTTTTTTCCTTTTAACGAAACTAAAAAAACTGTTCACATTTTATTACAGTAATCATTAAAAATTAAAAACAAGTAAAAGTAATAACAATCCCAATTGATGAAATTGTCATATTTCACATACATTCGAAAATTAACATCAAGCTCAGTAGACGATAAGTGTCCTTATTTCCTCACGCTAACATTTACTTCTAGAGAGCAGACAGTTGACCAGATTTTTGATTTGGAACAAAGGGAATTTTAACGATCAAAATGTTGACAATTTACAAGTAAGAACCAGGAATGGAGTGGGGCATTGTCGCGGCTGTTATGGAGTTGTGAAATCATATCAAAAAATTGAAATCCGTCAATCGAACAAGCTTGGCAAGTTCATGTCCATGCTCTTAAATTGGTGAAGCCTTAGGCTTTTCGAAGAGCGTTGCCCTAAGAAGAACAAGATAGGTAGCGCTTGGGGAAAAGTTCCTCATCCAAATATATCTACTTCTCATAAAGTTAATTCAGAAACACACAAGGAAAATTTGTACAAATTAAAATGAATTAAAATAAATAAAAGACATGGGTCATAATTATAGAAAGATATATGAGCCTCATTAAGATACATATTGTATTATCTTCCCTGTGAAGATGGGGTTTAAAGTCCACTATGTCATTTTGGGTTTAAGTACAGTTTAATTTTAATAATTTGCTTGCATGTAGGGTTATCTAGCAGTGGAAGGAAGCGGAACAGGTCTTTACTTTAGGGCCCCTAAGAGTTCTGATCATTGAACTTCTTTTGGTAATGGAAGATCATACATGTATATACACATGGGTGTGAGTAAGATTATGCATCAGTTTTCTTTTCCACAGAGCCACCAAGAGTTCCAATCATCTAATTTATGTTTTAAGGAAAGATCATATACAATATCTAATATTAAAAGTTAATTCTCTTTTTGAGAATTACATCTGCAAAACATTTCAAATCATCTCACTACCACTGAAGAAAATAACTGTGTCTTTATAGAGGTAGTATAAGATAAAAGAATTAATTACATTGCATCCATTAAAGTTATATTAGCATATATCAAAACAACAAGATGAGTAGTGCTTATAGCCCAGTACATAGTACCAAAGATGGTTTATCAAGATCTTTAAAGTAGAGACTGAACTTCGGAAGCTATGTTTCTACAGTCTGACTGGGCCATGAATGGTTTATACGCTGTCTCTTGGTCTACTGGAATCCTGGATAGCTGCATGAAATTAATTTAATGCTGCATTTGAGATAACTTTAAATAAACCAAGTAATTAATGGAATCTTTTACTTTTGTAACCCAAATTTGTGATCTTTAAGTATAAGTAAATATAAGAACATATCAACAATATATGACAATAATAACAAAGACATTAAATTAAAACACAGAAACGGGGGGGGGGGGGAACAAACTGGCTAGCTTAAAGATAGTCGTCAACAAATCCCAGAGAGCAAGGTTATTAAAAATGATTTAAATGAACTATGTTCCAGGCTTTAAATGTTAAAATGTAAACAAAAAGATAGATGGCTGAGTAAACCTACATATTAAATACATAGGATTATACAGCCACAGCTGATAAATCAACATACTGAACAAAATAAAACAGCAATGCACAAAAGAATAAATTATTACATTAATTATGTTTTATATATATTATTATACATGATAAACTAACACTGGCATCGACAAAAATCATGCAATTTACTTTAGCAGAAATGAACTTTTCTGCACGGATCGGGATAATGAAGGCAAGCAGTGTGCTATGAGGGGAAATTATGAACAAACAGCAGTACTATTATGGGTTCCTTTACTTTCACCACACCACCATGTCCACAAAACCTCCTCTGTTTTTAGTCTTATAGACACTATACCATGCCAGACTCTCCGGCAGGGTTCTTAATCCATTTTGAAACGAGCCGGCCAGAATTGGGTCAAATGAGGTCCCGGTAGGAAATTGGTTAATTATAAGCTTCCATTCCCTTTAATATAACTGAGACTTTCACAAAAACTAAACTTGACTAGTAGAAACACAACTTCTATGATCACAAATACACACTGAAAACTATTAACAACATAAAACTGGCTAACTATAGCAAGGTTTGACTTGTATAATTATAATACATGTACTATTGTATAATTATAATACATGTACAGTAATAAAGACTTTTTGGTCCACATATTTGGAGGAGATTTAATGGTTTTCAAACATCTTCATATAACAAACACAAAATGGATTTCAACTATAGTACATGCATTTACATGTAGCACTCAACTAAAATGTTAGAAAACATTTACCAACCATTAAAGGGGCATTACATGTATATAAGATTAGATCAAGAGCTGACAGTTCTCGCAAAATAATTCAAAAATAAATAATTAAAAGGGAATATGTTCAAAATTTCAGTCAAATTACTTCACACTGAGCTGCTTTATCGCTGTCAGAACAGTGTAGACTTGATTGTCATCAAATAATAAACAAAGTATTGGTTATCCATTTTTAAATTAAATCATTAACTGTCAATCATATTTAAATCTGTTGAAAATCTCCAGCATCCGATGGCATCGAGATTATGATCTTACTACATGTAAGTTAAACATACATTATACAAGAGCTAATTCTGCCTATTGCAGGTCCTTCTTTTGGCCTGAAATGTTATAGAAACTTTTATTAACAAAACAAGACCATAATTAACTCTCAATGGCATCGGATACTCAAGATTTTAACTAGATTAGAATGGTTCGTCATTCAAAAATTTAATTTAAAAATTGGAAAGCGAGGCGAAGTCTCGAATATACCAGTGCCCTGGTTATCACAATGCACACATCTTGTCAAAACTGTGTTAACTTGGCTCAGAATGAAGTAATATTATCTATTTTGGGGCTATTATAGCAAGAATGGTCAGCTCTTTATCTAAATCTTACATAATGTATCTTTAATTAAAGGAGGCAAGTCTTTAACTCAATATCATCCACAGTCCTTGACATTGCAAACACGAATTATTGGTCAATTTAAATCAACACTGATATTGTTACATGTACATGTATCTTACCATGAAAAGATAGGCTTTTGATATCCAATCCAAATGCTTTCTGGTGCCATTTGTGATGAAGCGACTCGATGACCGAGGCTAAACATAACCCACAGGAGAATACTACCAGTGCAGATTGGAATAACCAGATACAAAATCTGGACTCTTCGTGTATTTCGCCAAACATAACTGATAACAAATTACAGTAAAAATAGGAACAGTTGAATGTAAATCAGTTTATATACATGCCCAGTACATTATTATATGCTTTACGACCCATTTGTATCCATTTCTAGGTGCCAAAGAATAGAATAATTTATATAAAATTTATGGCATGAACAGACATGCAATAGGCAGATTTAGCTTTTGCATAATGTCTGTTTAATAGTGGGATGTAACACTATCAGCTCAAATTGTTTAAATTAAACTTGACTAGATACTGATCACAAATAAACACTGAAAGCTATTAACAACATAAATTAATATTACGGTAATAGGATATAGCAAAATTTGAGTCAAGTATTGATTTCTTTGTCAGAAACAATTCAATGCTATATAATAGAGTTATTTATAAATACTTTTTGGTCCACATCTTTTGAAAAGATTTTATGATTTGCAAATACTTTCATATAAAAAATAACACAAAATGGATTTTAAAAATACTAAACATTAACAGTGGGATGGAACGGTTCAAATTGTTTTCAATCTGTTAAAATCAAACAGCAACTGGTTAACCACTTTATTCATGTTAAATAATTAGTTATAGATTAAAATATCTGCTTGATGATACTGCTCTAAATTACTAGTTTTACTGTGAATCTAAATGAAACCTAATGTAACATTTGATAACACAACCTGCTGTGGATTCAATCTTGGTATATATATGTATGTTAATCTTCCATGTCAACGTTGTACCCATCCTTCTTGAGTTCAATCTTGGTACATGTACACAAATACGTGTAGCAACAATACTTTGTTAAGCCTCTGAGTAAACGTTATAGTTATACTCATCTATCGCTGATAGTGCAGCACCTAAATGATCTAATTCAGTATAATATCAACAAAACATTTTCTTTCACTTTTACCAAATTTCCTGAATGATTATAAAAAGGTGGAACCTTCTAATACATGTTCTTCTTATACAGTTTATTTAACACAGATCACAATGGATCTTGTTTGGATACATGTACCATACACAGATCACAATGGATCTTGTTTGTTTACCATATACAGATCACAATGGATCTTGTTTGTTTACCATATACAGATCACAATGGATATTGTTTGTTTACCATACACAGATCACAATGACTCTTGTTTATTTGTTTATCATACACTGATCATGATGACCCTTGACTGTTTACAATATACAGATCATGATGACCCTTGATTGTTTATCAGACATAAATCATGATGACCCTTGATTGTTTATCAGACACAAATCATGATGACCCTTGATTGTTTATCAGACACAAATCACAATGAACTTTATCATCCACACATCACAATGAATCTTGTATGTTTTACATACACCGATCACAAAGAATCTTGTTTATTTGTTTACCATACACAGACCACGACAAATCTTGTTTATTTGTTAACCATATACAAACCACTAATAACCTTGTTTATTTATCATACACAGATTTCGATGAATCTTATTTGTTTACCATACACAGATCACAATCGATCTTGATTATTTACCTTGCACAGATAATGATGAAACCTGTTTGATTACACTATACAGATCATGATAAAGCCTGTTTGATTACACTACACAGATCACGATGACTCTTTTTCAGTTACATGTACCATACACACATCACGATAAATCTTGAATGTTTACCCCAAACACAGATCAAGATGATTCTTGATTGACCCGGATCATTTCTGTCACGATTGTCTCAATCTCCGTAGTTCCCCTAAATCTACACCTGGTACAATAATTGATAAAAGAGAGTGAACATTATTTTGTAGATCTTTTAATCTTTTGTTAGCATCTTCTAATTTTAGCTTTGTATCTTCTAATTCTATCTTTGTCACGTCTAAGTCTTTGTCCTGTTTTTCGGTTAAAGTTTTGTCTTTGGAGGGATTAGTATTGCTATCATCTAAGTCTAGATCTGTTTGTGTTTCTATTTCACCTGTTGACACCTCCTTTTCACTAGTGCCAACTTGCGCTTCAAGTTCTTCGATGTTTGGTTTAATATCTTCCATTAATTGATTTTTCTGAACCAATTTAGGATCAGGTATTATTATCTGTTCGTCTTCCTCTGTCAAGTCAATAACTTCATCAGAGTCTGGAATGACTGCAACTACTTCATCTGTATCTTCTTTTTTGATAATAAGACGTTTGCTTACTGTAATATCACTGCCCATAGTTTTCCTTTTCATACCACTGAAGTAGGAAAATTTATAATATTAAATGTGAGTTGTATCATTAACAATAATAATGTAAGTTTTATGGTGTGCTCATTCCATATACATAAAAGTAATGCTCATGGAGCATTTTTGGCTCTCAGATGAGCATTTTTTTAATGTAAAAGAAAAAAGATTTATTTTGTAAGAGTTACATTAATGGAGCTCTTCCAAAAGGGTCTGGATTATAACACAACCATGATTTATAATTCTAAAATTTTGAAATTTAATAAGAATTTCTTATGACAAATCCTTGCAAATTTAAATGAAAATTTCATACATTGCCTGGAAATGTAAATCCAAAATGTAAATCGGCTGAAATCATTCAAAATGATATAAAAAATGTGAAATTCAACAGGGTTCTTCACTGAAAACTAATAAACAATCCTACTGAGTTTTAATACATTCTATCAAGAAATCTGGCCTGTACCGTCTTCACAAGATTTTATGAGTTTGAAATTCTACAGGAAAATTTGCAATCAGAAACAATCCCTGCAAATTTGAAAAACAATAGTGTGCAGGAAATTCACAGAATATACGTTCACATTATATGAACTAGAGAGAAATAGGGTTAACGCCCACTTGATACAAACTAGGTCATTTTGGGACTAACATATGGTTCAATTTTATTTCAATAATTCGGTTGCGCTTAGGGGTCTTTAGCAGTTGGAGGAAACCAGAGGACCCGGAGAAAACCCTCGAGGTTGGACAGACGACCCTACTCCTTCAACCTTGTCACATACAACCAGGGAATCGAAACCATGCCAGTTGACTCAATGACAGACCGTTATATGAACAACAAAAAAAAAAACGCCAGATAAATACCTTGTAGATGAAACTGTTGGTCCATCAGTTAATTCAGAAGCATCCTCCAACAAAGCCTGTAATGCATATTTATAAACCCAAATAATTATTTCTTTATACTGTTTGAATAGGATTTAGTAATTGAACACATTACAATAAACACAAAAGTTCTATGGATCAACAATTACTGAATTTAATTGGATCTCTGATTAAATGTAGTAATTGTTGATCATTTTTGATTATTTTAATTGTTTCTTTCTTACTGCCACTGAATACAATATGCATTTAGTACACATCTAATTCAATATGAGGGAGAGAGAGAGAGAAAGAGGGAAATGGGGTTTAAGATCCACTCGACATTAACAGACTAGGTTATATCGGAACTAACATTCTTTCAATAATTCACTAACACATAGGGTCTTTAGCAATGGGAGGATCCAGACAAAACCCATGAAGTTAGGCAGGCGACCCTACTCTGCACACCCAAACGATTATGGGCTTGTCATGTGAATAAATGTCTAATTAATAATTAATATAACATTTATAGCCAGAAAAACACCCTGCAATAGACTAATTCAGCTCTTAATATCATGCCTCTTTATAATAATACTTACCGTTGTTTCAAAGTTTGAAACACGTAAACTTTCTGCAGCCTTACATAGCTCCTTTTGGTTTTTGTTTACTTGTGATTTCTTCATCTGTAATTCTAAAATTAATTTCCTTTGATTAGCTTCTCTTTTCTTAGCATCTAGTAACATTCTTCTCAATCCCTCAGTTTTCTTTCTTTCTTGGATTTGTGTAGATGTTACCTGAAACATGAAATGAAATGTGGTTTAACATCTTACTTTTCTGCACCGACTGGGCTAATGAAGAAGAGCATATGCCATGCCCGGAAAGTGGCGCTATGTCCTACTTCCAACTGTCAAGGGTTTATTTACGTGCGTGCCAATGTGTGCATGACCCTAAATTCCTGCATCACTGTCAAGGGGAAACCATGTCGGGAAAATTACGGTGAATTTTTTCAACCAATTATGGGATCAAACCCTGTATCTCCAGGTCAGTGAGCGATGCCTTACTCACTGAGCCACCTTGGCTCCCCAGAGTTTTATAACAAAATTGTATAACATCAAGCTTGGAGATAAGGCATCTGTCAAACACACTGTCTGGCAAAGATTAATGCTTCGTCAGGCACAATTCATCTCTGGTCTGTGACTTTTGTCTAGCACAAATCTGTCTTTTTTTCTGTGTCTTTAACACATTCCCTAGACAAAATCAGAATGTCAGGTACTAGTTCATTAATGTCTGATTTTTTGTCAGATATAACTAAAATCATAATTCCTAGACCTTCATAACAATTACATGTTCAATAATCAACCATTCCTATAAACACCATGCTGAGATAAATGAAATGAAATGGGGTTTAACATCCTACAGTACTGCTCCGACTGGGCTAATGAAGTCGGGCATACACCATACAGTGTGCCATGAGGGAAATTTTGTGCAGACAGCGGTGTTACGACCTACCGAAAATCCTGATGAACTTTCTGGGCCAACACAGGGTTCGAACACGGGATCGAACACGGGACCTCCAGGTTAGCAAGCTAACATCTTATTCAATGAGCCACCGTGGCTCGCACATGTTGCGATCAATGTAGCATCTAAAAACGATTTTACCGCATAGTGATTCTACAACAAAATAAATATATAAAAACCTCCCTCCTGGATCAGATTTTTGTGAAACATTTTCTGATAACTAGAATATTTTTTATTTGAATGGCCTGATTTTGCATACAGTTCTTACCTCTGTACATATCTGTTCAACTGTTTTAACTCTCTGCTTTAATTTTTCTTCCTTTTCAATTAATTCTTTTTCTTTCTTTATCAACATCTGATGCTATTAATAGAAATAAAAATTTAATATCAGCATAGTTTCCTTCTGTTATGATTTAAGGTAGGTTGCCAGAAGTTAAGTCTTCGTATACCAATAATGTGTATAACTTTGAAGTCAATTGGATAATAAGTTTAGCCTTTAGAGTGTCCACAAGCAAATGTGAATAATGGACGGAAGACAACATATGAATACATCTGTAACAAGTTATCTAATAACAATGGATCTATCAAGAAATCAAGTACGTTATTCTCCAAGGAAGGTAAAAATATTTAAAATAAATAACTTACTCCTTCAACTCTTGTTTTTCGTTTTTGTTGTTCCCTGAAAAATATATAAACATTGGAATATAAAATATATAAACATTGGAATATAAAATATATAAACATTGGAATATAAAATAATAAAACAATAAAATATATAACCATTGGAATATAAAATAATAAAACAATAAAATATATAACCATTGGAATATAAAATACAAGAGTATACAAAAAAAAAATATCATATGGCCACTGCAAACTCAGCAAATACAAGTTGGGGCTTGCATCTTGGATTCGATTCAATTCCTTTGTTGGATTAAAAAGTCCAAAGGGATTTTCCAGAGAGGTTTCCCATTAACTGTGATGCAGGTGCAAAAGAAATTGACGCATATGCAAAAGAACCATTGACAGAATTTGCAAAAAATAGCAGGTCTTAGCACTTCTGTCTAGGTAAAATTTTCTTGTGGCTCACTGTAAGGCAGAGCAGAAAAGTGTGACATTAAACAAGTTGCATCCATAGGGTATGTTTCAATCGATTACATCTGTCTGATTTTGTCAATCAACTTTCTTGTCTATTTTTTTTTTTCAAGAACTATATACACAAATAAGAGAAAATTTTCAGAGAATTATTGATAATAAAACTTGCCAGACAATGAAGCTTGCCAGACAGTATAATATATGGTCTCAGTAGAGTCTGTACAATGAGTGACCACAATAAAACGTGCGTTCCAGTCATTGTTTTTTTGTGGCGCGCGATCGCTCTCGAGCGCCTGTCGCGCACCCGAATGTCGACTGAGGGGAGGTTTTTCTCCCTCACTTTAAAATTGAAAATCGCTCTCCATATTTGTAAATCATGGACATGTATTTGTTTTTTTTTCAAAAGAGTGTGAAAGACTCACATTCCGAGCGCCACCATGCTGTCATTGTGAACATTTATTTGGTGTATTCGATTAGTATAATGTGATCGCACAAGCTAATAAAATTCTGATGAATATGTTGCTAAAAATAGATGGCGACTATGCACCATTGGTTAATTTAACTGAAATGAAAAGTAAAACTCTCGCGAGACGTGAGAAATTACGAGAGATGGCACGTGAAAATTTCCAATGAGAATAATTCCGGAAGAAATAAATTATATTTTAATTGAATTTTCAAGCATTTATGATTATATTTTGAATAGGGGTTATGTTTTTAAACAAAATTTATACAAGCTATATATATTTAGAAATGTCGACAAGTATTTCTATTGGAATACCGTATGTACTGTAGTTATAGACGACAGTAGAAGTTTGACTTGACCGTACGACTACGAGTGCTATTTAGCAGACGATGTTTATTATCATTTATATGTAACCAAGAATGATGACCCTTACACGCAGTTATTGATCTTCAGAACCATTTCCCATACAAACAACCAATCACTCTCCTTAATATCAGATCATTCTCCATAATTTCTAAATCACTCTTCTTAACGAAACTGGGAGAGCTTTTTTTGGGGAGCGATTTTTTCAATTTGTTCATTAAGGGGAGCTTTTTTCGGCTCTCCTCTAAAATACAAAAAACAACGACTGGCGTTCGTAATGATATATAAAACAGTGAGTGAAGAGGGAGCAAAATGAAGGTGTGGATAATCAAAGACCATAATAAAATGAGAGTTCATAATGAAATATGAAAATCTGTTATGTCATACAATGAAACTTACATTTCTTTTTTAAATGTTTTTTGATATGACGCATGTTGTAAAGAGAGATCTTCATCTTCTGGTTCTTCTATAATTTCACATCGACTAATAAATAAAAATAGACGAACAAAGCAAGGAAATAAATAACAGATGATTCAAGCAAATTCATGTGTATCATAAAATGATTGAAATATTGTCTTGATAAGAAATTAATCCCCAATCCATTCCATTTATGACTCTAATATATAAAGCTGTATTATAAATAAATCTTCCCAAAATAATTATTGACAAAATATCACATCTGTGACAAAACATGTCCTTAATTTGTTCCAAACACGAACTGTTGAAACAGTGTATATCAAGACAGACTGTTTATTGCTACCTGACCAACCCTAAATGTTTTTAGCCCAAATTGTCGACCCTTACGCTTTTCTTCTCCTTTCCAAGCCAGGTCCCATAAATTTGTCTGGGCGTTTTTTCTTTCCTGGCTGACTGTTTACAGTGAGGCCTAAAGACAAGAAATACCTGTTTATTGTTACCCGACCAGTCCTGTATGTTTTAGCCCATATCGCTAAACCCAATGTTTTTCTCCTCTTGTCTGGACCTGGGGTTTTTTTTTTGGCTGACTGATTGTAATATTGATGTGTTATTCAGTAAATCTCTTCTGTACTGGAGCGGTTATTTGATTATAACTGTCCCCTCTTATCAAGAAATCTACAACTTACTTGTGTGAGGCATCAGGGTTCATATAACAATACCATTTATCTGGTAACTGTCTGTTGATACCATCTGGTAAACGTCGCCATTTTAAACAATTATCACACTGGGCCCACAACCAATCTGGATTGGCTCTATAAAGATATAGGAAAATATGTAAGTATCATTACATGAGATTGGACAGGCGACACTATTCCTTGTCATGTACAAGCTGGGAATCAAAACTGTGTCACTTGACTCAATAACTGAAAGTATAGGAAATGGGTGTGGATCCTTTGGGACATTTCTTCAAGTGTGAATCCATATTCATTCAAAAACTTTTCTAGTGGCATCATTTTTGTAACTATCAGAATCAGTCTTGAAATGCTCAATTATTTTTATTATAACATATCTGTTCGTGTGTTCTTCGACATTAAAGGGTACTGCAACATAGGATGCAATGATACATTCATAAACAATCGTGATTAAACATGATTATTGCAAAATAAAAAATTGCAATATCTTGGATTATCGTGATGAGATCATTTATTGTGATAATTCAAATAATCGTCCTTGAAGGATTTATTATCGCAATTATTAAAACTAATAAATGTGTAAACAGAATCAAAGCTTTGTTCGGCAGTCATTTTTTCTAACAGAAATAAAAGAAACATCATCCAGACGCATAAATTGTATATAACAAAACTGCCGACTTCATAATCGATGGTCAACAATCAGGCCATGGGAGTTAGTTTCTATGGCAACAACACTCTAATCAACACAGCGTGCAGTGGGGTAACTAGAAGAAACTGTTTGCACAAGATGTTTTATTATGCTAGTGTCATTTTGACGAGAATTTGGTCGAAATAATACGAAGTATTTTTCAAATTTTATAAATTTGATTCTCCCAAATCATAATTTGCGATTATTATAAAAATAATCATGATATATTGTGATACAGCCAATGTTGAGAAAATACGTGATTATTTAATCACCTGACCCAATAATTGTGATTAATCCCAATCCCCAGGGTTTGACTGCATCCTTAATTGCAACCGATATCAGTCTGTTATGTTTCATATCTGCAAAATGTTCTTAATTCACTTTGTAAAAGTATGTTTGCTCTCTATCATGTCTTGTTTTTAACAGGGAATAAGTAATTAGGTAGACTATACCTTAGGAACTTAAAACATTACGACTTGCTATTTTCGTCTAATTTGCTGCAACTATGTCCTGATTGACAGTGACACATTGTTTGATTAAATTAAGGACCTACATTCCACTCATTTGTGGATACCTGAGTAGGGTTGATCAGTCTCGCTCTTGTGGGTGAATCTTTTAGTAGTTCTTTCTAAATTATGAGATTGGATTTTTTTCTGCACATTTCTAAACCAGATATAATGTAATGAATAAAATAAATTAAAAACGACTTACCCTAGATTAGTAGAAACAGAATTAGAACCTGATTTCTTCTCATTCCAGTATTCATTAGTTTTAATCGCTAATGCTGACATAAAAGTACTGGAATACAGATAGTTTCAATTTAAAAATTACAAATTGTTATCATTATTCTTGAACAAAGGTTACATCTTTTTCAGGATATTTGGGGTGGGTGGTCAGTTGGTCTCACATTGTGTATTAGATCAACAGATTATAAAGTTTATCACAGAGGTATGGCTTCGATCCCATCTTGTATGTGACAAGGAATAGCGTTACAGAAGAAGTGAAAAGAATTGAATTTTTTTTGTTAATGTGATCTTCATTAGAATACATTTTCTATCCACCAATAAAAAACAAAACTAAAGATTCACGCAAGGGCGGATCAAGATTGGCATCAAAGTATCAGATCTCATCTTCATATTGACTGTTGCAGTGACAACGAGCGAGCACTAAAGGTGCAAAAAGTACATGACAGGAGGTCTAAGGAGCCTACCGCATAAAATTTGAATAAATGGAACGCTGTAGATGCCATTTCTGATAGAGGCGGATCAAAGACTTTTAGCAGAAGGGGTCCCAATTATATCAGATCTCCATACTGACTGTTGTAGTGACAATTGGCAAGTGCACACATCCGGGGTCTATCGCTGGAAATTTCGATAAAAGGAATGATGTAGATGCCAGATCCGTGCACGGTCCAACACACTTGCTAGTTCATACTTACTTGTAACGCTCATCTTTGTTAAAATCTTGTTTGTTGTGGATTGGTTGTAAAAAATTGACCTCTACAACTCCAACTACACCGACACCAAGGTCATTGGGTTGTTTCTGGTAACCAACCTTTTCAAAGGCTTTGATCAGTCTATTTTTGTGGTACATCATAATACCATATTCTTCATTACTACTTTCCGAACAAGTAAAGCCATAGGTTATTTTCAATGGTTTATCCTGGACTTTGGTCAAGAAGCATAACCATTTGGATTCTAAAATAGTCACTGACTGCATGATATCGGTTATGCAATGACTTCATATGCAAACTGACAATTTATATATCATATTTCATGGTATTAACAAAACATCACCTGAAGCTAAAATCTCAATTTTCAAATCTATGTCAAACTGTGACAGTATTCTAGGGCTAATGAAGACGGGTATATGACAGAAGGTGCATACATGATGGAAATTTTGCCTGGAGAGCGATTCTATGCCTACCTTTCTTTCAAAATTAAAATTGGTAGGAGTTCTTTTACGTGCATGCCACCGGGTACACGGGACATCAGCTAGACACTATTCCTTGTCAGACCCTCAATTCTGCATCACTGAGAATGGGGAGCCAATTCCAAGCTACTTTCTCGGATTGAACTCATGACCTTCTGGCAAGCTAACCAGGAGATCTCGGATTCATGACAGTGTTGTTCGAGACAGTTCTTTTACGTGAACGCCAATGTGTAAACAGGACATCAGTTTTTCATCCCATCTGAACAACTAGACACTGTCCTTGCCAGGCTCTCCATTCTGCACCACTGACAAGGAAAAATTGCATCCAAAAATCCTGAGAAACTTTCTCTGCTAACACCAGGAGCAAATGCAAGACCCCCTGTTTAGCGAGCCAGCATCATACTCATTGACCCACCACGGCTCCCCAGTCAAGTTTGTTTTTCAGTTTTTAAAGGATACAAGCCAATGTGGTTTATATCTGTCAGTTTCAGTTTGAGATAAACTTTTACAGATTAACTTGGTTTTAACTTTCTTTCCTCGTAACACAATCTTCATCCTTGGTTTTAAAAATAAAATACTGCAATATTCCTGAAATTAATAAAGTAATTGTGTTTATTGGCCATTTTAATCAATCAGCATTTCTGGCATATTTCTGGCAGAATTAACCCAGAAAGTAAAATGAAATGGATGAAATGGAGTAAACCTGAAATGTCCTGGTCAGCAAGCCTGTATCTTACCCACTCCAAATTAATGAACACTTCACAAGGTCATTTCAGGACTAACATATAGTTCAATTTTATTTCAATGATTCTCTTGCGTGGAAGGAAAACTGGGGACCTACTCTTGTCACGTACAAGCAGGGAATCAAAACCATATCACTTGACTCAATGACAGGCCTTATGATCTAAAGCAACCCCTCGAATACTGCTTTTATCACCTTCATATTATTAAAGAATGAATGAAATGTAATGGGGTTTAACATCCAAATATTCTGCACCAGCCTGGCTAATGAATACCAGCAGACGTTTTTCATGACATCTAAAAGACAAAACAGCTGTCTTTGTCATACACGACTGGCTGGAAAAATAAAATACTGAGGAACTTGCACTGTAACCCGGGTATCATTTAATCTTGTGTATCAAGCACTAATTTCTTTCACATTCCTTTAATATCAAATCTTTGTTTAATCATTTAAAATCACCCAAATTCATCTAATTTGTACTTTAAACTGTATAGTACAGTTTAAAGCTGACTGATTAATTTTGATAATGAGTATCCATCCAATTTACAAGAATTTAATCATTATACACCAATAACCAATTGGGTTGTTTATTTTTTAACAGTGATCGAGAATTTAAATGCTTGTAAATTAGACACTCATTATCAAATTTAAATGATCCGCTTTAAACTGGACGCAAGTACAAATTAGATGATTTTGGTGATTTTAAACGATTTTTTACAAATTTTTAAACAAAGAATTGATATTGAATGAATGTGAAAGAAATTGATAAATACACAAGATTAAATAATGCCCGGATTACAGTGATGCTTGACCAACAATTGTATCAAACCTGTGATCTCGTGGATAGTGAGGAAGCATCATACGAAAATAGACATTAAAGAAATAATTTGCCAAATATCCATCAAAATTTTTATGTTTTTTACATAAAAAGTTTTAATCGAATGGTACCTACTCTTAAAGATATACAGTACAATGGCACAGATTCTTGTACAGGACGATACACAGATGTCAAATCAATTTCTAAAGTCTGTGGATTCAATATATCTGTTGGATCACTCTCAAAATCCAGCTCAAGCTTTCCTGTGTTGTCTCTGGAAAATAAATGATTCCTATAAGTCGACAAAATCCTTCTACAGCATTTAGCAATTGAATATAATACTAAAACTAAACACAATTTAGTTCACATTGCTTACTTGCAAACGACAACAGGAACTTATGAAATGTAGTGTGAAATAAACTCAGTGATTGTTTTCCATATAAATTGTGTTTTAATATAAGTCGACAAATTATTGATTAAAATAATATTTATATTTTAAAACTGAAAGAAAAAAAAATGTGCATGATGGCACAGTTAAGGCATAAAATATGAAATGAAATGGGGGTTTGCTTAACGTCCTAATTTTCTACACCAACTGGTCTGATTAAGACAGGCACATGCCGCAATGCCTGCTATGAGAGATATTTTGCCCAGACAGTGGCGTTTCTGCCCACTGTCCATTAAAGATCCAACTGTCAAGGGTTCTTTTACAAACATGCCAACATGTACATAGGAACTCGTTTTTTTGTCCCATCCAAACAACTAGACACTGTTTCTTGCCAGAATCTCCTTCCTGCACCACTGACAATGGGAAACCAGGACTGAAAAATCCTGTGAACTTTTTCAGGCAACAGCAGACGTGGAACGTCCAGGTTAGTGAGCCAGCACCTTACAGTACATACTGAACCACCATGCTTCCCAACAAATATAATGAAATGGGGTTTAACAGACAACAGCACTACAGCCTACTCTTATATCGGATTCCAACTGCCAAGGGATCTTTTATGTGCAAGCCGATGTGTACATGGGACCTCTGTTTCTCGACCCATCCGATTGACTAAGACGGCTGTCCTTGTCAGACCCTCTATCCTGCACCACTGACAAGGTGAAACGTCCCTGGAAAATCCCGATTTACACTGGGATCGAACCCACGAACTCCAGGCTAGCGAGCCAAGCGTCTTACTCACATACATGTAGCTATCGTGGCTTCTGGTTACCAACATAAAGTATAACTAATTTAAGATGCATTATGTAAGAGCCAAATCTGCCAACTGCATGGTCTATTTTCTGGCTTCAAATGGTATATAAATTTTTATTTAAACATTTATTAACATGACAAGCCCATAATCAATGCTCTGGGCCAGCGGATGGCCCCAATTTTAAGTAGTCTTGATTGCCAAGCACTGTTGGTATGATAATAAACTTACGCTTTAAGATTATAGAGAATTATTCTTGTTCCTGTTTGTAGATCTGACAACTCTTCAAGTTCTGCTAATAAACGTTCTTCTGTGTTGAAGGAAGAAAATGATGTAATGGCTTGAATATTATTGACTGTTTCTACCGACTCAGATCGCTTCTGTTACATGTGTTAAGGTATGGTTTTTTTTTCTGATATAGTAAAGGCTGTAATCGAGGTCATGACCTTTGATCAGTGAAATTTGTTGACCTGCCCTGATCTGATAACCTTTGTGTTAAAGTTCAAGTTCAAAGGTCAGAAAGTTTAGCAGTTGAAGGTCCAATCCACTAAATTGAGAACAAAGTAGTTCGATAGAAAATGTAAGTATGTTTTCAAGCAGGAAAATGCTAGAAATGAACCATATGGAGCACTGACAACTATGTTTTATAGAAAGAGAGAGAGAGATATGGTGTTTAACGTCCACTCGGGACTGACATTTGATTCAATTCTATTTCGATAATTCACAAGCAGCGGGAGGAAACCAGAAGACCCAAAGAAAACCCACAATGGTGGACAGGTGACCCTACCCCTTGTCACGTACAAGCAGGGAATCGAAACCACACCACTCAATGACAGATCTTTGGAATTCACATGCACATGTTAACCACTAGACCACCCAAACCCTCGACTGTTTTATAATCAGATCACACAACAGGGGTTGTGTGATCACCGCATAAAAGTTGTCAACATGTCCACAATATAGACAGGTATCTTGGATGACAACTTTTGGCACTAGATTTTACAAGGTATATGTAAACATGAACAAGGGACATCACTCTAGAAGAAGTAATTATAGAAAGGGTATATAAAAAGGATATTTGTAATACTGTTCCAAGTAACTAAAGGCACAACTACGGTTTCTGCCTTGGTTTTACTAAGGAATGTCTGTGACAACATTCCAACACTCATTTCCTTCAGATGATGAGTAAATACTAAAACATCTTTGGCAATTCTCATAGATCCTGATTTAAAACCATTTCCATAGTGACCAATAGGCTTGTGTCCAGATTTTGACTCATATTTTGCTTTTTCACAAAATCCAAAACTATAAAAAATAAACAGGAATTTTAGTGACATCAAATAATGCAAAGAATGGTTTGATTTGATATCTACACAAGATTTTATTGTCGTGATTCGTGCCGTTTGTTGTCCTCACCTTAACATTTTTAACAACCTATCAGCATTCAATCCAGCTCCATTATCAGTGAAAGTGAGGCAGGTTTTACCACCTTCTTCCATCTTATCAATCCATAATTCAGAAGCATTAACACCAGGATCATAGGCATTGTCTAAAAAAAAAAAAAATGAGATTAACGTCCATATACTCATACAAAACATACTTTTAAAATTTTTGAAGAATAAATGAATGAATTGGTTTTATGACACATGCGCTCCAACTGGGCTATATTGCACCAAACATATGGTGAATTGAAGAATAAAACTGCTTAATTCTATGATGCTAGAAGTTACCAAATCTCTAGTCTATGATGTCTTAAGTTTGTCCAGTCCTTAATAAACAATAGGTGCCATATCTGAACTAAGTGCATGTACATAACATTTTTTAGCTAAAAGGGACAATTATTGGCTGGGAGATACTAATTGTAGGCCAGTTGGGTAGGTTCAGGTATTTCCAGAGTCCACAATGGCTGTATTTTGGGTATACAGTACATGTAGGTTAAAGGTTAGTATTCCCCAAAATACTCTATTTATATAAAGCGGCCATTGTGGACTTCAGACATTGCTAAACCTCCCCAACCGGCCTACAATTAGCATCTTCCAAATTGGCTTGCATTTTTTTTTACATGTACCTACATGTATATTTAAACCATCCCACTTGCATTAACCTTTTCCTGATATTGATGAAATCTATAAGACAGCAACATTTTGGGAAAGGGAAGTTCAGATGGTCAATATTGCCAATGTGTAACTATAAATCGACACTAATACAACTACCAACATTCTATAAAATTCTCTATCAAAATTGGGAAGATGTATTTACAAGCCACATTGATACTATTGATAATCTTGAAGATCAACTTATTTGGAATAATAAAAATATAATAATAAACAACAAGCTAATATACAATTCAAATCTATTAAATGATAATATTGTATATGTAAAAGATTTAAATACTGATAACTATAACAGTGAACAAAATAAATTAACTTTTCAAGGTATCAAGTCGAAAGTAGGAAAGCTATTAAACCTTTCCACTTGTATCTATAATCCTAACCCGACATCAATCTGTGACTATCTTAATAAAATATTAAACATAATATACAATAATTCAATCTGTAAAATTAAATCTAAAGATGTGTACAATAAATTAATCCTAGAAAAACTTACTAATCCAACATCGATTTCAAAATGGCAGAGGTCTTTAAATGATGTCATCACTATCGATGATTTTCATAAATATTTTAAATTAATTTATGAAATTTTACCGGACACAAAACTTAGAACATTTTAGTATAAGTATTTACATAATATAATATATACAAACGATACTTTACTCAAATGGAAATTAAAGCCTTCTAACTTGTGTGATTTCTGCAGTGCCGCCATTGAAAACAAAATAAAATAATCTTTTCTACTACTGTTATTACTCTAGTAAAATTTGGTCTAAATTTCATAAACTAATTAATAAATTAGATATAGAAATTGTTTTGAAAAGGCAAAATATTCACTTTGGATGGTCAAGACAAAATCGTTTGAGATTAAATGTATTCATTTAGTTGAATGGAGAATGGATCTTTATACTGTTAAAAATTTCTTAAATGCCAATCAAACAGTTTAAAACATGATCATGACCATGAGAGCATAAAGGTATGTGTGGGTTGTAACAATATTATGGCCATGACCTAATATTGGTTTCAAATTCGTAACAAGTTTTATTAGATAGGACATCATATAATGCTATGGAAATAGATGATATATTTATATATTAAAATGACCCATAGGTTAACAAAAAACAGACTGGCTTGTACTGCCATTTCCTGTTCATCAAACACACACCATATCATCTCGTTTATGAAACTACACGATGGAATGCACTGACAGTGATGCAATATACATGTACCTAGCTGACCAAATTAGAAAATAATTCCAGCTAAGTTGTGCGAAAAATTGCATTTCTTTATAAAGGCATCAGCATCTTGGTTGGCCAGTTCTCTATTTCCAAATTTGGCCTGCCCTGCATACAATTCCATACATATTTGTGGCATAATTTAACCAATCAAATAACTAATAAATTACAAATTTATTATAACAAAGAAGAAATTAGTATTTTACCTATTATTTCTGCTATTGCACTAAAAGCCCAGGTATGACTAGTACTGTTGGCATTTAGAAATGCTGGACTAACCTGGAAAATAATTTATTTATTACTATAATGAATAATTACTTTATTGTAGGCTAAGTTGAATATAATCTTTAATGTTCATAGTTGGTTTAGGCTTAAGATGGGGGATTAACATCTACTCGACCCAAATTAGGTCATTTTGGGACTAACATATAGCTCAATTGTATTTTAATCATTTGTATGTGCGGTAGGTATTTTAGCAGTCGAAGGAAACTGGAGGACCCACAAGGTTGGACAGATTACCTAACTCCTTGTCACGTTCAAGCCAGGAATCAAAACCCAGCCACTTGACTCAATGACAGACCTTGTTATTTCATGTGCATGTGTTAAAGTTACATGTACCATCCATCCCCACCATCACATCCTTTCCCATTTTGAACTTGACACCAACATGAAATCGTCAAAAGTTAGTCATGTGTGTGTGTGTCTAATGTAGACAAATATAAGTTGCTTGCACTGCAAGCTGATACTCAAATCACTCAAACTTTGTGCACTGGTACTGATAAACATTTTTTTTCAGGTACTGGTAAAAACTTTTGGAGCATTATCTTCTCAGACCCCAAGAGGTTAGTTACTTGGTGTGGTGCCTCTTGGTTTCCTGCAGCAGCTACTAAACCCTCACTCGGGCAGCAAGTTACAAGATGAGCAATATCAAATGCAAATCCAAACCATTAGATCCACTGAATATAAGTCCCAATCCATTTCAAATAACTTTTATTTCATTTTATTTATGGGAGGTCAACTATATTCTAATCATAAATTATGGAAATACATGTAAACAGGAGAAAATTCGATGTCTAATTCAGTACTGTTTATCAGAGTATTTATCATTACTCTATAACTAAGCATGTTTAGACTCTTGACCGAGGGGTTGGATGGCCAGATAGTCTAACTAGTGCACATTAGATCCTAAGGTCTGTCATTAAGTCAAATGGCATGGTTTTGATTCCCCACTTTTACGTGACAAGGAGTGGGATCACCTGTCCAACTTGGACTAATGACCTTCCAGCCTAAAAAAAAAATGTCCTAGACGTTTCCGACTCGGGCAATGTGACATTTCGAACTCGGGAGTAAGTTGAAATGGAAAGGTAGAACACAAACTGTCAAATCAATCTATAATAAGCCAAAAACGATTTTATAAAAATAACATGTAGGTCAAATTTACAGTTCGCTTACGCTATCAAGTAAAGCACAGTCGCAGATCGCACATTCCTATAGGGACGGCACGCTGAGATGCATTAGCAGTACCAACTGATAAATTAGTGCGTACAAAGAAAAATCTATTAGGAAAATATTAGAAATGGCAACGATCAAAGCTGGATAATTAATGCTGATTAACCGAAACCGATAATCCTGATGTTATTGTAGTATGTGCAAAGAAACCTTACGGTTCTTTGGTGGATGAGCCCCTGAGATAAGGAAACACGCGATTTGTCAATCATCGATATTCATGGCCATGTGTTGATTGCAATTATTCTGTTTCACGTAAAAGACATTAATTTAGGCTTTCACAATTATTAAAAAGCTCTATTACTATTTGATAAAAAGAAAAACAACAAAGTATTACTAAATATATACACAAGTTTTCAACAATATTTTATTGTCGAGTTCAATAGTCGCCGATGAAAGCTACAATTTCATATCTTTAAAGCGAGAATTTCATATTTTCTAAGAAAGTCAAAACATAATTATTTCTATGTCTTTTGCTCAATAGGTTATCAAATCACTATTATACGATCATGGGCATTATTTCCC